TCCCCCCAACCTCCACCACACACCTCCTCCTTCTCCTGCTGAGCCCCGGCCTCCCTGGCCTCCTGATGTCCCTCCTCCATACCGGCCTCCTCGAGCCTTCACTGGGCACCGCTCAGCCTAGCTGCCTGTCCGAGGAGGAATCTCTTTGACACCAGTCTCCAGCTTTGAGGTGGGTCTCCCTCCCTGCCATTCTCTGTCCCAGCACCCTTGCTCACACTGGTCATGGCCTTGAAAATAGCACTTTCTTAGCATCTGTCTCTGCAGCAGCCCAGGAGGGCAGGGAAGGAGCCTCCTCCATGCTGTGCATCCAACATGGGCCAGAGGGGCGGGGGCTCAGTCTGCTCTATTCAACACCAGCCCATCACCTCACGGGGCCTGCCCTGGCCTGATCCACATGCAGGAGCTGAGGGTGGGGCATGAAGGAGGACAAGCACCAGGGAACCCACCTCTTGGTCAGTCCCTTCCAGAAAGCCTCTTACAGCCAGCTTGATCTTTCCTCTAAGCCCCTGCCTCAGACCGTCCCCTAGAGGCTGTGAGGGCAGAAGAGCCTAGCGTGTGGCCTAGAAAGCAGGACACCTGTGTCCCCTCACAGCCCAAACCTCACTTGCTACGTGATCTTGAGTCTTCTCCCCTCTCCAGGTCTTAATCACCCTAGCTCTAAAATGGGTTAGGGCTGCAGACACACACTCAGGTGCCTAGAGAGCAAACATATGTCATTGCTTAGACATCACAAATCCTTAGGGTTGGGGACCCACTGACGGGAGGGCTGGTAGAGAACTGGAGAGAGAACACATCCTGCCTGGGCCGGCTCAGGGGCTCCAGGCCTGCTGATCCCTCAAGAGAAGTTGGAAATCTTTCAATTTAACAATCTCCTGACTGTTGAATGTTGACAACTAATTCACGTTTTTAAAAAGTCATGTGTGGGTCAAAGAGAACATGTCTGGACCACAGTCTGTGGGTTCTATCTTGGAGGACTAGGTTCAGGGGTCCTCTGGAGCTTTCTGGGAGAACAGTGTTTGCTCTTTGCGGGGTGATGTTATTTCCTGTGTACAATACGCCCACCCCTGACACACACACCTGGAGCATTTGATGGCTTTGCCCCAACCCAGCCCCTCTCTCCCCTAGCTGGTCAGAACCTACCCCTTGCTCCAAAGCTGGCTTTACAAACCCAGGCCCAGGCCTGTCCCTGGTGGGCTAGAGCCTAAGGAAGGGCCAGCACAAGGCAGGTGTTGGGGACTTCAGGACCCTCCTACCCTGCCCAACCCTTAAATTCCATTTCCTATGGTAATTCTTGGACCCTATTACTGTAAATCCTGGAGCTCACATTTCCAGTGTGTGCCCCTCCAGGGCAGAACTGAGCTGTTTCCAGAATCTCTAGCCATTTTGCAAGGCTGGTCTCCCGCTCATTGCCAGCAGCCCCAAGGAGAACAGCTGACTCACAGCCAGGGCTACACGGAGCGAAGCAGCACCAGGCTGGAGGTTTTGCCCATCTTCCAAACTGTCCAGGGGAGACTGGGTGGCTCAGTCAGTTAAGCCGTTAAGCGTCTGCCCTGGGCTCTGCTCAGGTCATGATCTCATGATCTCGGGGTCCTGGGATCCAGCCCCACCCAGCGCCCAGAGGGACAGGCTCCCTGCTCAGCGGGGAGCCCGCTTCTCCCTCTGCCTCTGCGCCACCCCCCTCCCCGCCCCGCTCGCTGGTGCACGCTTTCTCTTTCTCAAATGGATAAATAAAATCTTTAAAAAATATTTTAAAAATTAAAAACAAAAAAAACCCTGTCCCATGTCCATGTGGATCTCCTTAGGGTGGGGGGCCAGAGGGATTTTTTGCCTGACAGATAGAGGTTGAAACCGAGGCCCAGGGGAAAGCAGTAAGCTTGTCTAAGGCCCCTCGTCGGCTCCTTGACCTTCACAGAGGGGCACTACTACAGGTAGCTTCTGGGGCCCAGACTGGAGAAGGCTGAGTTCTGGGGCTGGGGTTGACATTCTCCTTCCGCCTTGGCTGCTGGATGAATGCTGTGTGTAGCAGCCCCTGACGGTGACTGTGACAACAATGATGATGACGCACACTGGGGTGGAGGGAAGAAATGGGGGAGGCCAGGCCCCAGCATGGGGTCTGACCTTGCCTGAACTCCAGCAGCCTGGGCTCCGCTGCCCAGAAGCAGGGTGATGAGGTGAATCTGTACTGCAGCTCTGAGGGAGGCAAGCCAGCAGTGAGGGAGAAAAGGGAGGGAGGAGCGGAGGGAAGAAAGGAAAAAGAAGGGGGGAGGGAGAGGAGAGGAAGAAGGCTGAACCCAGGAGAGGGGTCACAACTCTGCCCGAATGGGGCCCACCCAGACTCCTCAGGGAGGCAGGTGGGCTACTTTCACTTCCCAGATGCAAAACCTGAGGTTGAGGGCAGAGCCAGGATTAGAAATCATGGCTTTAGCACTTGCCCTTCAAAGTCTCAAACTGGAAACCACTCGGCAAGCATTTCCCAAAATGTGGCCCTAAGATATGCCACCCCCCACATTACCGAGAGAGAGGCCTGGTGAAAATGTAGATTCCTGGGCCAGGATCAAAGGGGCATTGCCTGGGAATCTGCACTTTGACCAGTGCCCTGGGCGGAGGTTCTTGAGCCCTGACACCAGAATCTCTGTGGCGCTTTTGTGGCCTCTGTCTGACCTCCTGACCTCACATTCTGGCTGCATCCCTGAAGCCCAGCTATTCGGGCTGACTCATACTACCCTCCCCAGGACAGGCCTGGGAACTTCCCACTCAAGGCTTCACTTATCAGTCTCCCGGTCCCATGTAGACCCACCCTTCCGGCTGGCACCTCTTTTCCGGAAGCCTTCTTGGTGGTTGGGATCCCCCCTCCTTCAGCGTCTGGGGAGTAATAGCCTGCTCCATCTGGAATTGTTTACAACATTCTATTTCACTTTCCATGTGAGTTTCTTTGTTTCTTAAGCTTTCCCTCTACTAAACAGGAAACTCCCAGAGAGCTGGAGACTTGCTGGTTTAAACAATAAGCCTCTGAAATCCATGACTTCACCTGACCCTCCTGCCAACCACAAGTGGCAGGGCTGACAGAGCTTTACAATGAGGACAACGAGCCTCAGAGAGATTGCGACCTGCCCAAAGCCAAGTAAGATTCAGAGCCAGGGTTGGAACCCATAATTAGTTCCAACATCCAGTTCTTTCTGCTTCTGTTTTGCCTCTGGCCACTCAAACAGATCTGTGAGGCAAGTAGAACAGAGATTATGATCCCATTGCCCAGATAAGGAAAGTGAGGCTCGAGATGGGCAAACCACCCAACACCATCTTTACTATGCTTTCACTTCTAGCTGCACTTGGGTCTGAGTCCAAGTGCTGACCTTTCCTCATGCCTCCTCTTGGGCTAATGGGCACTTCCCAGGGCCCCTCAGCAGGATGCGGCAGAGCTGGGCCCCAGGCTCCCAGGCCAGAGCCCTCTTCCCGGGCCCTGGACTGGTCCCAGTGCCAATTTGGACCCAGCTGCCTCCTCAGCATGTGGAGACTCACCTTACTTCCCTCTCAGCTGGCTGGAGAATCGAAGGGAATTGAGAAGTAACTGTCCCTTTTATTAATGCCCAGCTGGGGAAGGAGCAACCTGGATGGCCCCTTCTTCAAGAGTGGAGGAGGGTAGCTCTGAGCCTGGCACAGGCCCAGGCCAACCCAGCTTAGGTTAAGCTGGGAAGGGTGTGGAGCAAGGAGGCCAGACGGGCATTCCTGAGAGGGGTTTGCCTAACCCTACCATGCAGGTGTGGACTGGGGGAGACCCAAAGGAGGCATGGCCCAACTCTGAACTTTGGGTTGGAGTCCCGAGCCACCCAGTTGGTGCCCAGGGTGGCCAGCAAGGGATCTTGAACAGCCAGCAATGGAAAATAAAAATAATAGTGGTGTGGTTTTGGAATATAGGTGAGGTTCAGGGGGGTGGAGTCCAGAGCCGACAACCAAGAAAGAATTCTTGAGATGTCTTTGGTGCAAAATGGTGGTTTTATTAAAGCACGGGGACAGGACCTGTGGGCAGAAAGAGCTGCTGCACCCGGGTCTTGTGGAGTGGGTCTTGTGGAGTGGTGTTTGTATACTCGGGGAGTTGGGGGGAAGTAATGAAAAGGGAGGTTTCAAAAGAACGTTCATATGCTAAAAAGGACCGACCTACAAGATACTGGAGGCCTTGCCATCCTCAAGTTAAGGTTGTTGTCCCCTCTAGCAAGTTATTACCATTAAGATACTTAGGAGATTCCTGGAAGAATGTCACACTCGTCCCACCCAGGAGCGGGGGAGTGGAGGGAGGTTGCAGGGTGTCAGCTTATGCTTTGTCTTCAGCTAACCTTCTGCTCCCTCTTCAATAGTATGTGTCAAACCCTAACCATGTGTCAGGCCCTGTGCCTCTACACCCCCTTCAGGTTCTCAGAGCTGTGTAGTCCACAGGTTCCATCCTGCCCCTTCTCTGCCTCAGGTTAAGTCCCTTCATCTCAGACCAAAAGTGCCACAGGTGGGTTTCCTTCCGCTTCTGCGCCTCCTCACTCCCCCTTCAGCTGCCCCCACCCCCACCACTCCCAGAACCACTCCATCCTTGGATAACTACACACCCACCTCTTCCGGGAAGCCCTTAGTCACAGACGGGGCGAATCCTGCTTTAGACCATGGCCCAGAACCCCCTTCTTTACTCTCCTTCTTCTATATCCAAGGGACCTGTTTCTACAGCCCCGTAACCCTCGAGTTGTCTCCAGTGGCACTTCCCCTCTGACTCTGCCCTTTTATGCCCTACACGGAGGCATACGTAGGGTTCTAAAGTATAGGGCAGTTAGTAGGGAGGCGAGAAGGGCGGGGTGGGTAGGATGAAGTCGTTGATCAACCGCCGTTCCCCCACTCCTCCCGGCAGGCGCTCGGGAAAGCCCTGATCCCACACTCCCCGCCCTGCCCTTCCTACTCTGGGAGCGCGACGCAGGGCGCCTGCGTGAAGGAAGCCCGCGCCCACAGCGCATGCGCAGCGCTCCCTCCGGCTGTATATTAGGAAGACGGCGCTCGCGGCCTGAGGCTCCTCGCCGAAAAAGGCAAGGGGTTGGTTCGAGTTGTCTTGGGTGCCTGCCGCCGCCGCCGCCGCCGCCGCCTCCTCCGCAGTCCCCCGCGCAGGTGAGGGCCCGTGCTCTGGGTGCGGCGCCGGCCAGGGAAGCCCCCGCGTGTCCTGCCAGCGCGCGCCCCGTTGCCCGGTCGTTGGGACCCCATCCCCCACTGCTCCCGTCACTCGCCTCTTTGGGGTCAGCGTTCATCTCCAGACCCTGAGCCCACTGGGTTGCCTCAGTTTCCCCCATTCGGCCCTCTTCCTACATTCCCTTTTAACTGGCCGCTTCTGTAGAATTCCTTTTTCCCCGTTATTCTTGAGCCCTCGACCCCGGATAACCTCTGACCTTCCCCTGTCCAGGGCCACCACCTAACTCCAGACCTAACGCCCTCGATTTTATAGCTCCTGCCTCTCCCCAGTTAGCCCCAACCGCGTCCCCTCCTACCCCTGCCTTTATGTCTCCTCCTCTCTCAGTTATGTCCTGTTGGAGCTGTGGGGGATGACCTCAGGGAAATCCTTGCCTCAGGGACCCAGAGCCCAGCTGGGTGCCTTCCTCAGGTTTGGGGATGTGAGGACCAGGAGAAGTTCAGGATCCCTGGGAGTCCTCTCTGCCTGGATGGATGACAGTGGCTTCTTCTCTAGCCTCACTTCACTCGGGTGTATGCCGAGGTGTCTTATCTGCACTGTGCATTTCCCTGTCCTCCCAAACCTGTTCCCGACTTGTCTGTCCTTCGTTGCTCCAGCCCCTTGGTTGTTAATCATCGGCATTTACTTCACTTGGTAAAGTTGCTTTGCAGGTGCTTTTGTGTAGAGCTGGGGAATGAAAGAAGAAGTTGGTGACGTGGGTCGAGTATGGTTACCACTCCTTAGTTGAGTCCCACATGAGTGCGGTCCTTAGACATTTTTGAGTGAGACTTGTTATAAGGGTACCCTTGCTATAAACTGCAGGTGACACCTGAACCCAGCGACCTTGCCTGGTATTTGCCTGATTATTAACAAGTGTTGATGTCACTCATTGTCTTTCTATAGGATCAGTGTACCCTCTCGGACATGGAGACTGTTGTTCGCCGCTGCCCATTCTTATCCCGAGTGCCTCAGGCCTTTCTGCAGAAGGCAGGAAAATCTCTGTTGTTCTATGCCCAAAACTGCCCTAAGATGATGGAAGTTGGGGGCAAGCCAGCCCCTCGGGCCCTGTCCACTTCCGCAGTACACTGTCAGCAAGTCAAAGAAACCCCTCCAGCTAATGAGAGTAAGTGTCATTGGCAATAACGTAGGAGGTGGCAGTGTTTGCATTTATCACTAGACTAGAAGCATTTCTAGTCCACAGCGGTGACGAGGGGCACAGTAACTGAGGGTGTTACTCTGTGCCAGGCTTGGTTCTTTGCATGGAGTATCTCATACTTGTCATCCTAACCCCGCAAGTAGGCACTTTTAGTTTTCCCATCCTTAAAAGTGAGACGGTGGCCAGTGTGTACCTTATAGGTTTCTGGATTGCATGTCGGTGTCTTTCGGAGTTTTAGTGTTCATCAGTACCTCATTTGTGTAAATATAAAGTTGGAATGTTCTGAGGCGCCTGGGTGGCTCAGTCGGTGAAGCGTCCGACTCTTGATTTCAGCTCAGGTCTTGATCTCAGGGTCATGAGTTCAAGCCCCACATTGGGCTCCACACTACTTAAAAAAAAAGTTGGAATGTTCTGTTTCAACCTTTCCTTCATTAAATATTTGGCCCTTTGGCTTTTTTTTTTTAATAGACTTTACCTTCTGGAGCAGTCTTAGGTTTGCAGCAAAATTGAGTGGAAGCTTTTGGCTTTTAAAGCTCTGACTTAAAAAAAAGTTGTGACTTTTTTCTCCTTAAAATTATTTTTTTATTGTGGTAAAATGCACCTAACATAAAACTTACCATCTCTTACCAATTGTACAGTTCAGTGGTATTAAGTACATTCATATTATTGCGCAACTGTCACCACCATCCAATTTCCAGAGCTATTCCAACATCCCAAAGTGAAACTCTGCTCCTTCAACTCTAACTTCCCCTCCCCCGCCCCCTGGCAAACACCATTCTACTTTCTGTCTCTGAATTTGACTGCTGTAGGAACCTCAATAAATGGAATCATACAGAATTTGTTAGTGATTTTTTTTTAACACATGTATCTTTATTTTATATGTGAATTTTTAAATTTTGTTTTTAATAAAGAGATCAGAGTTGGCTTTTGTTTTGGTCTGGCTCTACCAGGAGAGAATGAGGCTTTTCAGGTTTCACTTAATCCTAGAGAATAATTTACCTTACAGGCTCTTTTAGGTATATTCTCTGGATGTGTTCCTTGTAAGAAAGGAGTGTTTTGTTTTGTTTTGTTTTTTTCTGTAAGCAGAAGGGATTTAATCCTTTATAGGATTTCTTTTCCTCTTTTAGGAGTTATGTTTTTTTTACTCAACAATCAAAATACTCTTTTACAATTCTGTCCCTGCTATAGAGGATGTTGATTAGAACATGATTTGTTCACTTGGTAGACTCTCAGGAAACCATTGCAAATGATATTAACAAACTATTTACTAGCTTAGGCGGATCTTTATAATGGAAAGGGAAAAATAAGCAAGCACATGCAGAATAAGTAAAACTTTTTTTAAACTTGTACATAGGGAAAAAAAGATAATTTACCAAGATGCCTGTAATGGTTATTTTTTGAGAGACAGAACACTATTATTCTAGGTTTCTCACAGTGAATGTATATTACTGTTATAATGAATGAAATGAACTTCAAAGCAGTTTTTTTGACTTCATAGAAGATTTTAATAAAAACTGTATTGAGACATCTTACCCAAGTTGTAGGCAAGGTTAGCCTGTGACTCACAGTATTCCAGGATGATGCAGAGTAAGACTTTACTAGAAGAAAGGTGAATGAATTTGCTCCAGGGGAGAGGAAAGTCATTGTGACTAAAAGCATAATTACCAACCAGCTTTGTTAAGTCAGTGCATTTCTTTGATGCATTTAGATGAGCAAGTAGATGAAGTGTGTGAATGTGATATTTCTGTGGTTTTTTCTCAGCATACTAGTAATTTGAACTCTATTAGACAACAATCGAAAGACCTCAATTTTAGCCCAATTTCTTTTTTTTTAAAGATTTTCTTTATTTGAGAGAGAGCAAGGGAGCATAAGCAGGGGGAGGGGCAGGACAGAGGGAGAAGCAGGCTCCCCACTGAGCAGGGAGCCCGATGTGGGACTTGATCCCAGGACCCCGGGATCATGACCTGAGCCGAAGGCAGATGCTCAACGACTGAGCCACCCAGGCGTCCCGCCAATTTCTTTTGTTAAGAAGAAAATCAGTAATTTATATGTTAAGCAACAGCAAGCTTCTTTGTCAAGAATCTGTTTCAAAAATATTAGCAGAGAAAAAATTGTATAAACGCTTCTATTTATCTTCAAGAGTGTGTCCTCTCATGAAATATGCTATGTGTCCTTTCCCTACTGGAAATCCTCCAACTCAAGAACTCTAGGCTATCTGAAACTAGAAAATACTACTTTTTGGTGGATTTATAAGGGAGAAATATGGGTTTAAGAGATAGCTGGATTGTGCCAGTTAACTCCTCACAGAAATATTGTTTCCAGTGAGGCAGATGAGAAAGCAGTTCAATTAGCAGAACCTAATAAAAATAAATTTGTGCCTGAAATGTGGGGGTAGAGTAAGTATAAGACCAAGTTGGGGTTGGAACCCAGGTCTCTTGCCAAAACCCAGACATGCCTTCTTAACCATCAGTTTGTCCTGTTTTTTGTTTGGTTTTTAGCAGTTTCCACTTTTCAATATGATCGTTTCTTTGAGAAGAAAATTGATGAGGAAAAAAATGACCATACCTATCGAGTTTTTAAAACTGTGAACCGGAGGGCTCCTATTGTCTTTGAGGCAATAGGAGAAACAAGGGGCTTTCTTGTGTATTGTGCAACTAGATCTGATGCTTCAGTTTTTCCATTTCACCCCGCAGAGGACAAAACTGCCAAAGCTGAGGTTGAGCAAGCTGCTGATGGATCCCAGCAGACTCCAGATGGCACGCAGCTTTCGTCTGGACATCCCTCCCTTGCCACGAGCCAGGGCACTGCAAGCAAATGTCCTTTCCTGGCAGCCCAGATGAGCCAGAAGGGCAGCAGTGTCTTCTGCAAAGCCAGTCTCGAGCTTCAGGAGGATGTGCAGGAAATGCATGCCGTGAGGAAAGGTAAACACATGACTGGAACCGTTAGGAAGAACCAAGAGGTCCCTTTGGTTCTTTTGATCCTTCAGATTTATGTATGAGCTATTATTAGGGTAGCATTTGTAAAAAAAACTTCCTCTTTTAGGGCCAAGGAGGAAGGTCATCAAGATAGTCGGTCAGAGGACTGCTTGAGAAAATGTGGGACTTTCTTTCTGGGGTGTGTGGGTAGGATGTGACCACTTTTTATAGTAATTGCTTCATTTCTGAAAATACCCTGCTGGCGTAAGCTGTTACCAACTGCCCTTTGTTTCTTTCCTGCCATCAGTGGGATAAAAGGTAAAAAATAGTGTTCCTGCAGTAATTGATGGTCTTAGGACTCCCAAGCTGTGTGTCTTACTGATGGTCATTAAGAGGCAACTTTAATTCCAGTTGTGGCTATAGCCACAGCGCACCAAAAGTCCCCAGAAAACTGCACCAGCAGAAATGATGCATATGGCTGGAATTGTCTTCCATGAAGAAAATTGAGATTAGGGTTGGGTGGAGTGGGAAGGTGGGGAAGACCTGCCAACCAGCTAGAAAGCTTTGGACTCTAATATTCATTAAAGCTGTCTGGTAGCTCAGATGTCCATCGACAGATGACTGGATAAAGAAGATGTGG